TCTTATTCTGTTGTGAATAGGTTGCTCTAAGACATTTTTTGACCCAGGGAGAAAATAGTCGATCTCATAATAAGTGCAGTCACTGTTGTCGGTCTTGATATTATGCATCGGCGACTAAATGAATTAATGAGTTAAACACAAAAAATAAACTTGTCAACTTGCCACGTTTGAAAAAAAAATCACTCTTATTCTGTTGTGAGTATGTTGGTCTAAGAAATGTTTCCCCCCGAAGGAAGAAATAGTCGGTCTCCAAATAAGTGCTCAAATGGGCCGTAACGCATATAATAATGTAATATGAATGTATATAAACTGATTTACATTCAATCATTTCCGTTTTTGCTGTAATTTCTAATCAGTTATATTTAGGGAAATACGCCAGAAGTCTCAATCGAATGGCAGTCTCTAGCGTATGATTATTCCAATCTACACCGAAACGCATTATGGTACACGATTCGTGTACCAATGGTAAAATGTTTATTTTGTCTTAAATATTGGATATCATAAGCCCATCTTTTCCCGGTAAGATCACAACATCAATGTTGATTTGAATCGACAAATAATTCGTGTTTTCAACGTCGAAGACAAAACTAAGCTTCCCATAGCTTTTTTGCTAACTGTTCGACTAATATTATTCGCATGACAATCAAGTAAATATTTTGAAATATGTTTTTTTTTCGAAACATGACAAGTTGACTAGGTTTATTTTAGCGACTGAGGTGAGCGGTTCACCTAGACGGGAGGTCAGAGTGCCCCACTCTGATCAATCGGCTTTGGTCGTTTTAGCTTTGTAGAATGTACCCTTTTCCAATTTAATGCTCTGTTGTTTATTCACTCAGCAATTACTACCTTTGTGTCCTTAGTACATTCTACAAAGCGGCGGCTTGGGTCAATCAGGTTGGATTAGTATATTTACTTTCTGGCTTGAGTATACCCCTCGTCGAGTCCTGAGGCCATGCGCTGGTTATCCGTTCTAGACCTCCCCTTAGTAGACAGGGGGACGACGAGGGATGAATTTAAAAAAAAAATACGTTCATGGATTCCCCAATCCCCCCACCCCTATCAATGAACGACAAAAACAGAAACGTCCTAATTCAGAGGATGTTTCTAACATATTTAAAAATAAAATGGCAATGTCATGGCCGAGGTTTCTCTTGATTAAGAGGCCCTCTACTGACTTATCCAAAGTCTCACCTTTTTTGATAGCTAAGGGCATTGTCGGCTTGGCCGGAGAGCCCAAGGCTATTAGAAAATTGAAAAATGGAACACCCTTGATAGAATGTGTCAAGGAGCAACATGCTACCATGCTTCTTAATTCAACAACATTGGCAGACATTCCTATCAAGGTGTCTCCACATAGATCATTAAATTATAGTAGAGGTGTTATTCGCTGTCGGGATCTTGAAGGCAGCAGTGAGGATGAAATGGTAGAGTACCTTTCTTCTCAAGGCGTCCAACAAGTTAAAAAAATTAGTGTACGCCGAGGAGATAAGGTGATTCTTACAAGCACCTATAGCCTCACTTTTAATCGTCCCGACATACCGAAGTCAATCAAGGCAGGTTATTTAAATATACCTGTTGATTCTTATATTTCCAACCCTCTTCGCTGCTATAAATGTCAGAAATTTGGACACAGCAAGACCGTCTGCAGGGGCAAAGACACCTGCGCTCGTTGTGGACATGGCGGCCACGAGAGCGCCGCCTGTCAGGCTGAGTTTTGCTGCGTTAATTGCAAGGGTAAGCATTTTGCTTATTCTCGCAAATGTCCAATATGGCAGAAAGAGAAAAGAATTCAACAGGTAATGTCTGAACGGAAGATTCCATATTTCGATGCTAGGAAGCAAGTAGAACTTACTTCACTCATTCCCATTGCACCACAAGGGAAATCACTTTTGAGTGTAGTTAAAGTTTCTACAAAATCCATATCTGTTCAGACAGACATAACCTGACCATATAAGCAGGAAAAACCCAAAGACTTTGCCTACATCAGATCATGTAAACGGGGTCTCGAGCTCCACAGAGAGCTCGACTCAAAGCACTACCGTCCTACCTAAAAAGGTATCCTCCTTGCCTCCATCTGGAGGTATTGACATTATTCCCAATACTCCCATTCAAAATGGCAAGGGGGTTCCATCATGCACTCTTCTAAAGCTGACACTGCTGATTCCAGTTCCACTGGGTCAGGGGTGCAGTTTAAGAGTACTCCATCCGCAAAGGAGAAAATAGTGCATTCAAAAAAACATCAAAATTTAGGAAAATTTCGAGAGAAAGATAAAAAGGGTTCAAACAACCCCATCACTCTTTTTAATAAATATGGGGATGATCTGATGGACGGCATTACTGTAGTGGATGTCCATACGGACCCACATGGGAAGTCGTCAAAAATAAAATAACCTGACAATGGTAAATTCCATTATTCAATGGAATTGTCGTGGTTTAAAACCAAATTTTAATGAAGTCCAATTATTAATTCAAAAGCACAATCCTTTAGCTATTTGTTTACATGAAACTTTTTTACGGAATTCTGACACTTTGTCTTTTAGACATTTTGTTGGTTACCATCATCATTCAGTTGGTGATGGTAGAGCTCATGGGGGTGTTTCTATTATTCTTAATGGAGGCATTCCTCAGAGTCAAGTCACCCTCAACTCGCCTTTACAGGCAGTTGCAGTTCGGGTGACTTTGCATATTCCTATAACACTCTGCTCTGTTTATCTTCAACCAAGTTTACATCTTAATCCCAGAGATCTTGATGACCTTGTTGCACAACTTCCCCCCAATGGTCATCATTCACGCTGGGGTAGTCCAGATGATAACAACAGACGTAAACAAATAGCAGACTTCATTAACATTAATAATTTGTGTTTATATAGGGCAATGTTTGCTTCCAATTTCTAGTAATTTTAGAAAAGTTCGAAGATATACAAGTTATTTTTTTTTGTGGCGTCTTATATTATCTTCCTGTAATTTTGGAATCTTTATATTGTTTAATAAACACCTGTCATTGCATAGGCCTATATCTTATTTTCTTCTTTTAAATAACCTACTTATATTATAGGACTATATCATATTTGTTTAAAAAAAAAATACTTATACTATGGGCCGATATATCCTATTTTGTTTTTAACAAATAACTACTTATATTATGGGCTTATATTCCATTCCCTTGTTTACAATTTACAATGCTGTTTTAGTGGTAATTTCAGAGAGAAAATAGAACAAATTTATTTGTAAAAGAATATAGGATTACATTATATAACTCTATTTCATGGGCCTATACCATAAGTTATATTGACCAATGATGCCTACTATTTATCGAAGCCGCTTATAACAAGATAAAATAGATGATATATGACGTCAACGTGCTAGACCGTCTTCGATCTAATTTCTCCATGCTATGCCTACTATTTATCGAAGCATTTAATGCTGCTTCAGTGATGTCTAAATATGGGCTGACAAGGACAGCTGTCTAGTCGTTCGGATGGGACGAAAAACCGAGGTCCCGTGTACTCATTGGCGTGCACGTAAAAGATCCCTTGACAGTTGGAATTCGATATAAGAGTAGGCCGTAGTGCCGCTGTCCGGGCAAAATTTCCCTCATAGCACACTGTATGGCGTATGCCCGTCTTCATTAGCCCAGTTCGGAGCAAAACAGTAGGACGTTAAACCCCATTTCATTTCATTTCTGATGTCTAAATGGTTCAAGTTGGGATGAAGTTAAATACGAACAGAGTATACTTCATTATTTCGATGTTACGTTGCCATAGGAACGTTTTATACATTTCCCTGTCGAGTCCATATACAGGGGCGTACATAACGATTTTGTTTGGGGGGTGTTTAGCGAAAATGCGACCGACTGATGCCCATACCCCTAGTACGAGTGACGCAATCAGGAACCGAGCACCACAGGTGCGAGTTTTGTAGGGGCCATGTGAAGTAGCGGATCTAGATAGGGGTTGTGCCTATAACACTGAGCAACCTGAGAAAATTTAGAAAAATTGAGTCAATATCTTGGCATTTGAGGTCATTGCTGGGAGAAATTCTTGTGGACGAGGGGGCCAGAAATGTGAGTCAATTAGACAAAATCTCGAGATCTGCCCCTGCCAATTCCGCCTGTTTTGCAAGAGTTGACAGAACTTTTGTATAGTCTGACGCCCCACGTGACCCACACACCAGTGCCAGTGGTACTACTAACATAACTAGGCAGTTCAGTATAACCGTGAATATGATAGTGCTGAGACAGTATAAGACAATAGAGGAGTGGAAGAAAGATATTATAATCGAATCGAGCGCCGCAGGCGCAAAAAAATTTGAGATGTGTAACCGAGCTTTTAATTTTTGGGTCTGGGCCTGACAATTTTAGTCAATGTCATAGCAAATGGATCCAAATTCTCGTTATCGAGAGGATAAGAAATGGGACAGAATCTTGAGGCCTATCTGTCAATGTCGCCTGTTTTGTGAGAGTAGAACTAACAATTCTACAGTCTTTTGACCCACGACTCACTCACTAGTGGTACTACTAACTGGGCGATTCACTGTAACCGTGAATATGATAGTGATGAGATAGTAAAAGTCAGAGAAGGAGTTGAAGAATGATGGCATAATGGAATTGAGCGCCGACATGTAACTGAGCTTTGGGGTATAGGGGTAGCTCGGACCGGGGAGTAACATAGGCCAGGTGGCGTTAGTCTACCACTTCCGGTTTCGGAGTTATGACCCCCCGAGCGAAGCCGGTCTGTTCGGGGTTGGCGGCTACACTAGGTCTGCCCCGAGTCTGAAATGTGGGGTATGGGGGACCTCGGACCGGGGAGTAACATAGGCCAGGTGGCGTTAGTCTACCACTTCCGGTTTCGGAGTTATGACCCCCGAGCGAAGTCGGGTATCCTGCTAGTATATAATAAGAGGCGAAAGGATTTATGAAGGACATCTTGGAAGGTTGGATATTTGAACAGATCTTATCTAGATTACAACTAAAACTTTAATCCAAGACCTTTATTTTTCAGCAAATAACACGAGAGAACAATGGCGTCTTCTTCCGGTAATTTCACAATGCCCCGCAAAAACTTTGAGAGAATTCAGCGCCATTTCGACTACATTCTTGAGAGAGTGTTCAATCCCGACGACTTGATCACCGCCTTATTCTGTAAAGGAGTTCTTGATATCGACCAAAAAACGCATATACTGAATATAGAGACTGGTAAACCGAGAGTTAAAAAGCTATTGGACATCCTAATGACAGAATGTGGAGATTGTTATCAGCTATTTCTAGAGGCTTTAAGAGAAAAGGGTTTTGGACCCATAGCAGATACATTAGGTAAGATATCATTTGTAGTAAATAACTAAACGATCATGGGAATACTATTAAGGAGTGATTGCACTGTCTAACTGAATCTGGATTTATTGTTTTTTCCCCGGCATATAATGTGCGTGGGGTTTTCTTTGTCCGCTCGTCCGACTCATTCTGTTTCTAGAGCAGAACTCCAACACCACTGAGTATTTTTGTAGGAATTTATTTAAACTCACCAATCGCGCGTTGAAGTGGTGACTTTTATATTTGTTCTATTTTTTTACTTCATAGAATTCGTCTTAATCTGGACTTGGAGTAGGTGTCATTTCCGGATCGGATCTCGAGAATCATTCAGCATTTCATCGCAAACCCTTCTACACATTCACCTAGTAATGAAGTGTTGTCTTTTACTATTCATTTTTTTATATCAGTTTCCATGCATAGTGCATTTATTACCAACCCTTGAAAGCTATCATTTCATATCAGTTTCCATGCATAGTGAGTGCATTTATTACCTGTGAAGATACGAATAAATAATTCGATAAATTGGAAAAGATGGGGACAAAATCAATTCGCATTAAACCCTTCAAAGCGGTCAGATCTAACTATTATGGCAACCTGTGGGTTTCCTCAAGGTCTTCATCTATCACAATCGTGCGTATATATTAGTTTTTGGGTATATATTTAATTAGAATACATATCCGTTATTCGTTTCAATAGAACGTCCAAAAAATGTCGATTGTCCGAATGACCGAATACATTGTATATTTGATATTTAAATCATTCGTTATTTCTTGCAAATCTGCAATTTGTTCATTTCACATAGAACATACATCGTCATGGAATCGTTTCAATTGATTTTCTAAATATAATCTGTAATCTAAGCCATATTTGATTTCTACACTTGAGAATAAATTTTCCCTCACAAACCTCATTGTTAAGTTACCTTATAGTGGTACTGCCTGGGCAGCCATCTCTCTCTCTCTCTCTCTCTTCAAACTTGACTTGCACGTAAACATTAGAAAGATAATAGCCCTTCATTATTTTACAGGTGAACAAACCCCTTCATATATCAGAGTAGCGCTCATTGGCAGGACCGGAGTTGGTAAAAGTCGCTTGGGAAATTTACTTCTACATAGAGATTGTTTTAAGTGCAGTAATTCGATGCATTCGTGTACATCAGTTTGTTCAAATGGAGAACGAGCGTTAGATGCAGATACTAACTTGACCGTCATGGACACTCCCGGCGTATTTGACACAAGAGATAACAATACAGAAACTGTTAAAAAGTTCCTTTCCATATTTAAATTTACTGGTATTCACATATTTTTAATGGTTGTCAGAATTGATGTGAGGTTCACAGAAGAGGAAGAAAATGCCCTGCGGTCTCTGTGCGACGTGTTTGGTGAAGACATAAATGACCATCTTATTGTCATAATGAATAACCAGGGCCGGGGGATTAAATCCAAAAAAAAATTGCTTCCAGAATTACCGACGTCATTAAAAGATATTTTAGAACGTTGTGAACACAGATGTGTTGTTGTAAATTATGTTAATGATGACATGGTCGATGGCAACCCAGAAATCGAAGATATTATAAACACTATTAAAACAACAGTTACTAAAAACAAAGGACGCTCCTATACACATCAAATGTTCAAGGAAGCTGAAAAAGCATACACTGAGACACTAAAAAAACAAACATGTGATTTAGAGAAGAGAATTAGACAACTCGAGTGTGAAAATAATCAGTTGAAAAAATCTAGTGTACAAAATATAACTCTTGTCCAACAGAATCCAAAACCTGAACGAGTAAAAACTAAATACCAAACAGGTTGGTTCTAGAGTTTATATTGTCTAATAAATAATGTATGATTGTATGATATAGTTATATCAATACTATCAGTAGAAATATATCAAATGATTTATATATGGAGTATAATCAAGATGCACTATCTTCTCACCCTAATCTAATGAATCCATGATCATATGGAGTATAAACAAGATGCACTATCTTCTCACCCTAATCTAATGAATCCATAATCATACTAACTCAAAATAATACTGTCACTATTATTTATCATGTCTGTATATGGGTGGCCACTCTCAATATTCGGAAGGGGGGGGGGGTGAAATTCCATATAACTAAACAATTTGTGCTTTAGAGTTCAAGCAATTCATTAAAACCAACCGATAGATGGACAATGGATGACGGTATCGTGAAAACCAAAAGGGTCGCCAAATAGCCACAGAACGATATATCCTATCATAGCATTCTAAAACTAGGATTTGGTGTACCTTATCTTCTTATCTTTTGACCAAAATTGATCACCTAGCACGTATCGTCGGTTTAAAAAAAATTTCGCTGGAAAATGACATGAATGGGTAATTTTCTTTTTTCAAGATGAGATCCTTAATGTTTTTATAGCTAAGACACTGTTGTGTCAATCTCTTGTCAACTCCAAAATCCACTCGGAAATCCTAATTTACATTTACAATGCTTGGTCTGCATGAATATGTATTCGTCGTTCAGAAAGAGGGAAATGTTTTGTTTTGTTTTGTTTTAATTTCCTTATTAATACCACCATATTTATTATTCATTAGATAGAAGAATATTACTGAAAATTGTTCATTTTCGTTTCTTTAAAGATGCCGAAAATTTACTCCGTGATGCCACAAGTAAGCAGTTTGTAGAGACAAAGGCCTTTGAAGGAGGGAAACGTATTTTGGAAGAAAATTTTATCTTGGGTATAATTGGCGCTGTAGGAGATGGTAAAACAGTATTATGTCGGATGATCGCCAGTTCGTTCTTGAAGACCCATAAATATTTTATTCCATTGGAAATAGGACACCCAAGGGACATGGATTCCATAACTTTCACAGATGAGGATAGCTACCTCTTGATCATCGATGACATTTTTGGTATTTGGTCACGTAAAATAAAAAAACAAATGCTAGAATGGCCAAAACATTTTGAGTCATTTTTCTTAGAAAAACAAAAACGCAACTCGGCAATAATCTATGTTATGAGAAATGATGTCTATCAGGCTTGTCAGCATGTTCTTTGGAAATATGAAATATTCGCTATGTCATATCAATTACAGCTTCATGGAACACAATTCCTGTTGTCAAAAGATGAAAGAGAAGATATTTTGCGATACCATTTCAGAAACTGTTCCGAAAAACAGCTGGAGAAGATGCTGGAACAAAGTTCAGGATGCTTTGGTTTTCCAGGTATTGTCAGTCTTTGTAGTAAAATCAGGACAGTAAATCCACTTAGGGTGTTGAATGGTCTATTTGAATTTTTGCGCAGGGAATACGATATTTTCTGGAATGAAGATAGAATTAAGTATATGGCTCTATTTGTTATATTTAGTCCACACCCTATCTCTGAGGACGAAATCCGACAAAAGACTAATCACTTAATACAAAATCAGATACAACAAGAAATGGGGAATATGGGTGGTGTAGAAGATATTCTGGATTCATGCAAACATTTAACTGGTTCTTACGTTTTATGTGATGAGAATCGCATGTTTTTACCAGAAAAGGTGATCAGATGCTTTCTGCTTCATGTCTCTCAACGATTTATGAAACTGGCGATAAAATACTGTCCTTTTGATCTCTTAATAGATCACGTTTCAACCGTACCAGGTGATCAAAGGGTTTTTATACAGCCACGTTTTTATGTTGATCTATATGAAAGATTCTCCCGTGAGTTACAGGAGGGAAATGAAGCGGTGTTATTCCACCAAGCATTTCTTGACAGTAATTTTTTGCATGAATTTCTTAATCGAGACAGTGCTGAGGTGCTGCTAAACCCCGAGCTGAAGATGCAACTTGGTGTTGGTTCAATCGATGAAGGACATTTTCTACACTATGTATGCTTATTTGGATATTTAAACGAGCTGCAAATAGTTTTCTCATACTACAGCAAAACTACTGCCAATTTTTCTGGCATAAAAACAAAGCTTGGGTTCGATTTACTAAGCCTTGCCGCTAAATCCGAGAAAGAAGTAAAAGATAAAATAAACTATTTACGTGATCAGAAATATGTCATGGAACGCCAGAGTAAAGCCGACATTCAACGACTTATTCGTGCAGCAGTCCAATCAAACAGTTTGGACACTTTGAAACATGTTAGTTCTTTTACAGATATAGACTTTACCTCTGTGGATCTTAACCAGCGTACATATTTACACTATGCCTGTGATTCGGATTATGACATCCCAGAAATCGTCAAACATATCGTTGCAAAGGGCGCGAATATCAATGCTGAGGATGAAGATGGTCGCACTCCCCTAATTCTAGCCATTCAACGAGGAAAGACCTTGACAATAAATTGTCTCATAAAACTGAAATCTTCTGTTAAAGTGGCTGACAAAGACGAAAAATTACCCATTCACGTAGCTGCCAACTCCAATGCTGGTCGTTTGGATATTGATACATCTGCCATAATACAACTGTTGGTGGAAGCTGGATCACCTGTTAATGCTAAAGATGCGTACGGTAGAACACCACTGACGGAAGCCCGCGCTAAATGTGACAAAAAGATGGTTGATGTTCTATTGGAAAATGGAGCAGGTAAGACCCACGTTTTCATAATGTATATTGCTGTCGCCCTTGTCCGTCCATCCACAATTTGTTTGTGGACACTCTACACGTCACAATATTTTATCCGACCTTGACGAAACTTGAAATATAGGTTTATTTCCAAACGATCTCGGTTTCTTTGGACATTGGAATGTATTGGACTGTAACTTCCTGGATTTTGGCCCCTGATTGTACGACTATTCACATTTTTAGCTTTTGGACACTCTAGGGGTCACAGTTTTTATCTGATTTACAGTATGGGGCCAAAACTGCCCGTCAAAATGGCAGTTCGTTGCACGTAAATAGTGTTTAAGTATGTAAAAAGGGTTGTGGACCATCTAGAAGTCACAATTTTGATCCGATTTTGATGAAACTTAAAATATATGTTTTATATCACAAATATCTCTGTTCTTTTCGATATTTGCGCATACCGGACCGTAATTTTCTGGATTACGTCCGACTTTTATCTAATTTTACAAAATCGTTAAAGATATCACCGTTACGCCCTTATAATGGTTGAGTTCAAATTTCGAAACTATCCGTCAAAATGGCCGTTCATTGTGCGCAAATAGTGTAAAGGTATGTAATTCCAAGGTTGTGGACCCTCCAGAGGTCACAATTTTTATCCGATTTTGATAAAATTTAAAATTTATGTTATAGACCATAAATCTAAGAAGTGGACAGTTTATTCATCCATTTATTTTTTTTCAACATTGGATCTGCAGAAAAGGCAGTCATTATGGAAAAATTAAAAAGAAAAATATTAAAAAGAGGCTGATTCAAGAATATTCCACACCAATTTATTCCTATAGCTCCTGGTAATGTTGTAATTCGCACAGCTGATACGGATAGTTTTATGGGTAATATGGCTGTTATTGTCCAGTGAATTTATGTGTCAGTGACTTCCCGTTCCGGAATTACCTCCCCTTTTCAAACACTTTTGTTATGCGATAGTTTTAACAGATTTATTCAAATTTGATGTCAAGCATTCGGCCAATGATTGGATGTGGAAATGTGATGCATGGCAACCGCTTGTCAACAAAGGCACGTATTTCATTTTTGGACTCTTTTGGTTTAAAAGATAATTTTATACGCCCATGTGTTCATGTGGACGTATATTGTCGTCGCCCCTGTCCGCCCGGGCATCTGTCCGCTTTTTTGTGTTTTGCAGACAATAACAGACATTTATTTATGATTTAATACATTTATAAACCTGCATAACTTCCTTAATACTAATTCTGGGAATCGCAGTGGCTGAATGAGTATGAGTAAGAGCTGGAGACCCTGTGTTCGATCCCTGCAATGGCCAAGAAGTTCATCGTGGTTTTCTGTCGTGGTTTTTCCTTGCTAGTGGTGCAAACGGAGGGCCCGACAAGGGACAACATATAGTCGTTCGCATGCCCGTCTTCATCAGCTCAGTCGGACGTTAAACCCCATTTTATTTCATTTCCATTCTGTTTTGTATATTCCCATTCCGTACTCGCAATAAAACTTAAGTTATTTTGTGACTGAAGATGAAATTCATTTTTACTTATTAAGTAGTGACCTCTTTAAGATGAAAATTATTGGCCTGTAAAATCAATAAGAGCTATTTTGATGACCATTATTTCTGGCCACCATTTTTTTTTTTTTTTTTTTTTTTTGTTCAGTATGTAAATTTCCGGAAAGTTTTAAATCAGAGAATAGGCCACGATCTTGAAACATGACGAACAAGTTATGTTCTAAAACCCTCTAAATTAACGTCTGCTCCAGGGCTGCCGACAACCAGTATCGCAGCGCAATTTGCGATACATATTTTGTCCGTTGCTAACCAAAAATTAAAATCTAACGTTTTGGATATTGACACAAGAATAATCCACATTTTGAAGACTAGAAGGCTTACTCATCACTTTCAACGTGTATAAAATGTTGAATAAAATTTTATAAACAAAACTGAATTCTCCGTGTGACATTTTCTTCTCGAACTACCAGACACAATACTATATAACACATACAATTACCCCTAAGTACCACTAGAATTTCCAGTCAACAAACTCGGTCGATGGTTGGGCTAAAATTTGGGAATAGTTTGTTTGACTGAAATAAAAAACGCACTAACTCAAATATGATTACATCGTTTTTTGTCTATTTTGATTATTTTCCCCCAAGTTCAAATCTGACAGTTGAAGTCACAACTTTATTGAGATTTTCCTTCCAATAGCAATCCCCTAAACAACGTGTTGACCTCTCTTTGCGAGTAAGGTCGTCATCTAGGGTTAAGGGTCAACGACTGACGTCATCAACTGAAAACAATGGCCGTACTAATATAAACAACTTGAATTAAGTCTGTGTCCGATGCATAAAACTGATGACAGCATAGTATCTAGTCGCTTCGGAATAAAAACAACCGTGTGGAGGGATTTATAGAGGAGTAGGCTACATGTTGTTATCTTAGTTACTGCCACCACTGCTTAATAAAGTCAAGCTTTACGTTTTTCCTCGTCATATTGAGCGACTGGATTATTCGACTGGATTATTCGACTGAATTATCTGCTTGATTTTTTTTTCGACCGGATTATTTGACTGTTTTTTCGGCTATCCCCGGCCCTAAATACCTATTTATCAGACTACTTTTGCCCCATAAATTGAACTTGAAACTATTTGGCAGGGGAGGGAGGTGCAAGCCCCCGGCTCTTTTACAGCTATGGCTATGGGTATGACTGAACTACTCGGTATTATCTTAGTTCACTGCAATTCCTGCTTATTATTGAACGGCTGTTTTTAACTTCTCATCATATAACTGTCAAAAGCACATTTTGTCAACTTGATCTGGTATGAAGACCCAACTTGATCTGGGATGTGGATTTATCGACAGTGATATTCGTCTAGTTTTATTGACTGAGATATTCGACTTGTTTTATTGACTGTGATATTCGACTGGTTTTATCATGGTATTATAAGGTCCATGGTTTTATCGACTGAGGTATTTGACTTATTTTATCGACTGAGATATTCGACTTATTTTATCGGACTGGTTTTATCGACTGAATTATTTGACTCGTTTTATTGACTGAGATATTTGACTGGCTTTATCGTCTGGATGAGGCCACAATAAAATAGTTTTATTGACTGGGATATTTGACTTTTTTCGACAATAAAATCAGTCAAATAATTCAGTTGACAGAACCAGTCGAATAATTCAGTCAACAAAACCAGTCAAATAATCCAGTTGAAAAAAAACAGTCAAATAATCTAGTCAACAAAACCAGTTGAATAATCCTGGCGAAAAAACAGTCAAATATCCCAGTCGATAAAACCAGTCGCTCAATATTAAGTACCGGTGGCAGTGAGCTATGGTAATATAGAATAGCCCAATCATGGTCGTAGCCAGGGGCTTCACCCCCCGCCCCTCCCAACTACTTTAAAGTCAGATTTTTCGGGCAAAAGTCTTATGATCTAGGTATTTAGTTGATACATGTACTAAATGGAGAGTAATGTTTTTGGCCCGTCATCTAAGTGAATAGAATCCTACATAGGCCTGTAGTCAGGGGCTGGGGGTATTGGACGAGTCAGGTTTTTTTTTGTGACCTTGTCAAGTCGAATATTTCAGTGTATATTTCAGTCGAAAAAAAGCAGTCGCTTGACTTGATGGTGGAGGACCATACTTTATGAATCACTAATTGGAGTGAACTAAGATAACAATAAGTAGCCTGGAGCCACGGTGGCTAAGTGAGTAAGACACTGGCTCGCTAGCCTGGAGGTTTGTTCCTGGTATTGGCCGAAAAAGTTCCTCAGGATTTTCCGGGTGGTTTCCCCCTGTCAGTGGGGCAGTCGTTTGGATGGGATGAAAAACCAAGGTCCCATGTACACATTGGCATGCATGTAAAAGATCCCCTGTATGGCATATGCCTGACTTTATTAGCTCAGTCGGTGCACAACAGTAGGACGTTAAAGCCCATTTTATTTCATTGAGTAGCCCTTTCATGCTCATAACACGGTTCCACTTTCAGGGAATGTATCTGGTCGAGTGTGTTCTCTAAGTATCGGAAATGAATACAGATTTTTCGAATAGATCTTCAACACTTTATTTCAAGAGCAAATAAATAACAGCAACAAGTAAACAACTTATATCTTCCTATAAATTGGTCCTCCAACTGGTACATAGGTTCCCTCAGCTGGTCTCTCCAACTATAATTCATCTTTCATACATTTTTCTTTTTATATAAATTAGTTACTATGAAAGTATTGACATAAACATATAATTATTGAAGGATTAAGTCATTTAAACAATAGTAAAAGAAACTTAACAGACCACCCACTTTAGTTATTTAAATCGACTGACAAATTAATTACTGTATGCTTCTAATAACTAACCAAGTGAACCAAGATCAATAAGTAGCCTTGAACAACAGTGGCTAAGTGAGTAAGGCGCTGGTTCGCTAGCCTGGAGGTCGCGGGTTCGTTCTCGGTATTGGCGGAGACAGTTCCTCAGGATTTTATCCAGGTGGTTTCCCCTTGTCCGTAGGGCAGGACGGAGGGTGTGACAAAAACTACAGCTGTCTAGTCTTTCGGGTGGCATGAAAAACCAAGGTCCCATGTACACATTGGCGTGCATGTAAAAGATCCCTTGGCAGTTGGAATTCAATATATAAGAGTAGGCTGTAGCGCTACTGTCGGGGCAAAATTTCCCTTGTAGCACACTGTATGGCATATGCCCATCTTCATTAGCCTAGTCGGTGCACAACAGAAGGATGTTAAACCCCATTTCACTTCATTATGTAGCGGGAGTGATTAAGTGGGTAAGACGCCGGCTCGCTAGTCTGGAGGTTACATGTAGGTGTTCGATCCCTGCATTGCCCGAAAGAGTTCATCCAGATTGTCCGGTGTGATTCCCTTTGTCAGTGATGCAGGACAGAGGGCCTGACAAGGTTAGCTGTGTAGTCATTCGGATGGGATGACAAAACGAGGTCCTGTGTACACATTGGAATAAACGTAAAAGATTCCTTGACAGG